GTCTAACAACAGATGTATATAACGAGTAGGTGAATGCACTGCATTTTTGGCGAGCGGGAGCGATCTAACGATTGTGTGCATGCGCAAAAAAGCTGTTGCTTCCTGTGTAGTAGCTGTAGTCGACCCTCTCTTCGGCAGACTCGGCGGCAATTCGCCTTGTCTGATAGCTTCGGATCTGTTGGAGCCTTGCCTGTTGCGTTTCCTCTGATTCCGCAGCACGTGTCGCTCTTGCTCTAGTCTTCCGCTGTTTCCGTTGGCCAGGCGTTGCCTTGCCCGTTCCCTATCACGCAGTCGGCGTCGAGAAAGACGAGCCTCTCTTTGCTCAGAAGTCTCACTGGCACGACGTTCTTTCTTGTTGACGACGAAGGGCATCTTCTCTAGACCGATCCGACACGAGAAATACACGGTGTAAAAATTTGAAATGTGTTTCGGATAAAAAGGAGTGCGTGGACGAGAAAATAGAAAAATCGCGCCGTTTTGTACCACTAGCTCCCGCTCGCCAATTATATACTGCTATCTTAGATATTAACTCTTTATCCACTGCCTGCGAATACTGCTATTTGTTACTCCACCCTCCCAGACCCAGTCTAGTCTTCTACCAACAGCTGTACCACATTCCACACCAGTCAATATTAAACCCAGAAAGGTTTGCACATTAAATATTTGTTCACACTTTCGCTATCATGACAATTTTGGGATATGGTGAATGGTGACCAATCGAATAATTGAAGCCATGCCTATTAATTAATGTTGTCCATTTTGTGATTTTGATTTCTAAAACTTTAATTATTATGTGAGTCGTGTGATAGGTATCGTTCATGATTATGATGTCATTACATGTCATGTGATCTCCCCTCAGCTCACTGTGCAGTGTCATCGTAAGAAGACAGCACCATGTGAAATGATCAGAGGATCTGCAACAACTGATGGTCGATTTGCATACTTCACCCCACGTGGCTCCAACTCAGTCTACCAATATGAATGTAGTACAGAGAAATGGGAGAACTTCCTTCATGTCCATATCGCAACTCTGGACTAGTCATCATTGACAGGGAACTAACTGCTGTGGGGGGATGGATGGATCTCGTTATACTAACAAACTATACACACTACGACAGAGGAAATGGGTTGAGAAATACCCTCCAATGAACACTGCACGTTCCACACTGCTGTAGTTAGTACATCTGATGGTGAATACCTCATTGTGATTGGGGGGTTGTGGTGGTGGTTGGACTGCTACAGTTGAACTATTTCAAGTGAAGAGCAGAAGATGGTACCAACTAACAGACTTACCACAACCTCTCACCCTTCCCTTCAGCCACAATATGTGGTGATCTAGTACATGTGGTAGGAGATGGTGATGACGGCTACTCGTGTTCTCTTGCAGCTCTACCATCCAGTGACAAACCAATCCCACCACAGTCAATACCACACCTCATATCATGGAAACCTCTCCCTCCTCTACCAGTGAGAGACTCAACAGCTGCCACTCTCTGTGGACAGCTAGTACTCATTGGTGGCGGCGATCTGGGTCACAAGTCAACTCCATTCACCAGCTAGTGGATGGACAGTGGGTGGAGATTGGCTCTATGACTAGTGGTAGGAGCTGTGTTTAGTAGCCAGTCCATCACCTGACAAGATCATCATAGTGGGTGGAGTTGGAGCAGAGGACAGTGTTGAAGAATGTGTTGTTGTTTAGTTACAAGTACGTTTTTTTGCAATACTCATTGTACAGTATAATTACAACAAGTTGTGATTATGCGCAGGCTGTTACAATAATATTCTGCCATAACTTCCTATCTTCTGCACACAAAATAAGTGGTATGAATATTACTTGTTTGAAGATTGGTTAAATAAGCAGAATTTTATATAAAGTATTATAACCCCCATATAAATTCTTATTGACTTATGAAGGCTCTGGACACATTTATGTGCCCGTGGCTGGTTAAGTGTTAATGCTATATCCTGACATCTGCTGGAAATTAGAGAAGAAGAAGATGAACAAAACTCCCTATCATAACTCCATACATCTATGATGCTAGGTACCATGCCCATCCCTATAATATACTAAGTACTACTGTACTTAGTGATACCGGCCAACAATATTGCATAATTATGGTTGTGTTGTTATAATACACACACCATCATCACAATAGTCATTATACAATAGTCACGATGTGTGTGAAGCTGACACACTGGTCTAATCAAGAGAGATGGAATGATGTCACGATGATGTCATTGTTAATTGGCCGGAGGAGGAGGAGGGTCTGCTGAGTCAGCAGTCTCCATTGGAACATCAGAGTCTCCTCTGCAGTGGGTGGGGTCTGTCAGGGAGAAAAATGAAAATATTCTCTCTCTCTCTCTCCTCGCTCAGAATTATATGCACACGTTGTATTATCTCAAATGGGGACACATGAAAGTCACAAAAACCTTTTGCAAATCTTGAATGCTTCGTCTTCAGTGCACACACACACACAAACACACTCACTAACACACACCACACCACACACCACACCACACACACACACCTCACACACACACACCACCCACACACACACACTACACACACACACCCACACACACTCACTCACACACACACACACACCACCCACCCACACACACGACACACACACCCACTACACACTGCACACACACACACACACACACACGCACACACACACACACACACACACACACTCCATTCAACTCTTTCTGCACTGAGCCATATTATTCACCTCCTCCTCTTCCTCCTCTTCCTCTCTCATCTTCTCCAACCTCTGAGGAGCGTACAACAGAATGTACGCCACGTGCCAATCGCCACCTCCAGACAGCTTCAGTATCTGGTCCTCCGTCACCAAGGTAACCTTGTCGTCGTCCAGCTTCGCCCACTCACCTTACAGGGGCATTACATCATGATTACGTCATATGGCTTTAAAATAGTATGACATCATAATTCCATAATACTCTTGCCTTAACCTGTATTATTACGTCATAATGACTTCATTCAAAGAGACCTATTTTTGGCAAAGTCACTCTCAAGCAAATTAATGTCACAAACCAAGGAATATGGAGAGTTAAATAGAGTCAATAGTCATGTGATAGTCACGTGACTCACCGTTCTTGAGGGCCACCCAGCCGACGTAGTGACCAGATGATGAAGACCTTCCCTTGTGCGTCAGGACGGCCGCTAGCTCGTAGTATCCACTGTTATTACTGCCTACATCTGTCGGAGGAGAGAGAGAGAGAGAGAGAGAGAGAGAGGAGAGAGAGAGAGAGAGAGAGAGAGAGGAGAGAGAGAGAGAGAGAGAGAGAGAGAGAGAGAGAGAGAGAGAGGAAGAGAGAGAGAGAGAGAGAGAGAGAGGGATCGAGAGATCGAGAGAGAGAAGAGAGAGAGAGAGAGTCCACATTTCAAAATTTCAGACACAAGCAGTTGTAGCTGGAGTTTGCACAGCCCAATTCTATAGACACGGGAGAAATGGAATATTAACAGAGAGAAACACAATACTGGTGTTTGGTGTACATTCCTTGCATACACTTGTAAAGCTTCCAATCCAGGCCTGCATTGTTTTCCTGATTGCTTGCACATGCATTAGGGGTTTGCAGGGTTTTGCAATGCCATAGCGGAGTTGTTTGAGAGTCAAGCCTGCTGAGCTGCTGATAGAGTGGTGGGTAGCAGCATTACATAAAGCACGAGTACATTAACGAACACTTAACACTACTTATGAACATTGTTTTCGCTAAAAACACATCATCTTTCTTTCGCTGTGCATGGACAAACCACCCCCTCTCTTCCTCCTCTCCTGCCATCTCATACGCACCATCTTCAAACTGAAAAGGTTCATATTCAACATTCTCATCTTTCTTGGCTATAGCTGCCGCTCCTGCCAGTTTCGGTCCCAGCAGCTTGCCCTCGGCTATCAGCTTGGCTTTCTGAGCCTGAGGGAGGGAGAAAGGAGGGAGGGAAGGAGGGAGGGAGGGAGGAGGGAGGAGGAGGAGGGAGGGAGGGAGGGAGAGGGAAAAGCAGAAAGAAGGAAAGAAGAAAGTGAGAGAATAAACACAGAGTACCAGTGAAGAGTGGATACAACACAAGGAGAACCATATTTCCTATGAGGAGGCAAAATTTGCTCCTCGCCCCATGAAAGAAATGGCTTCGACTAAATGACGTAGGTACTGTTGGAGGCTACTTTCCAACAGAAAAGAAAATATTACCATCTTTTTCTCTTCTTGTTCCTTGAATTTGGTCCTCATGGGGCTAAGTTTCTGCTGCAGTTCAGTGGTGCAGAATTCATACATGTCCAGCTTCATCGTGTACTTGACGTCCTGTGAGGAGAGAGAGA